AACATAAAATAATTAATCGCTGAGTAATACAGAATCATTTAGCGCACTTTGTCTTAATTGTGGATTTTTTGGCAAAAATGTCGAAGCAGAACATTATTTATTGCAATTCTCCAATTCTGAACATTATACGTATACTTTGGTCTTGGTCTTTGGTCATCAAAATTTTATAAAAATAAAATCTATTTGAAATTAATTGAAAATATGATTTTATCATGTATTTATTTTTTTAAAAGCTGTCTCTTTAAAAGTTTTTTATTTTTAATCTCTTACAACTCAAATCCTGTGATTGTCTTGATATTTTTGTAAATCAAACTTATAAACCAAAGAGTTTATAAAGTTTAAAAAAAATTTGCTGAAAAGAATTTTATCCTGCACATTTAGTAATGTATTGATAAAACGTAGTTGGATATTACAGTCATTTTTTTGGCTTTCGTGACTACTACAACTACAGCATGACGTAGAGAGAAAATATATAATACACATAGAAAATTTGAAAACGCTTTTGAAAAATCTTTTCGAGATATCTTTATTTATAAAGAAATTATATTCGCTATGTCGATCTCAAAATTGGTCAACTTTAGGAAAATGTTTTCTTGATATTATCAATATATGTCCGACAATGTTTGCACGATTTAAATTAAAATCTATAAAATAATGGATAAAGTTTCACTGGCGCTTCAAAAAATAATTCTTAGAATTATGCTTTTTCGAGTAAAAAAATTTACGTTAATTTGAGTTAAATTTTCGATATTATGTAAACAAAGTTTCACCGACATTTAACAATTTACTAATTAAATTTGCTACATACATCTATTAATATAGAAAGAAAATTTATAGGATATGAAAAATAAGACATTTTTTCTCGAGGGATGCTTTTCTTTTTTGATGAATCACTCTAAAAAAATTACACAATCTATGTAGGCTTGTGTATCTTTTTGTTAGATTAGTAATTTGCATTCTAAAAGTGAGTTTTTAAAAGTTTTTTTGGAAATGTAAGAAACGAATGAATTTGCATGCGTACACTAAAAAGTGAAGTGAAAAACAAAACACCTTACTGAAATTAAACGTTTATTAAAGTAAAACGTTTTTTTTTCAAGACGTTATAAGTAACACAATTGCATTGAGAGGCGTTGCTAAGGACGACCAGAATTAAAGTTTGAAGATTTTATCATTATGACATAATAATAAAATTTTTCGAAGAAGAGGGAAAATTAGTATCAGTTTTTATTTATGCCGATATTATAAAAATGAGAGTTGAAAATCCAACTGCTGCCAAATCCACTCTTTGTTTGTTGGGATGTTATTATGCGTGGAACTCCCATCCAGCAAATTACAAGACGGTGATGGATTTCTTTGATAAAGTATTATTGAACAAAATTATATACAATAATCAAAAGCTTTCCAAATTTTGGACCTCATTTAAGATTCTTTCATTGTAAATGTTATGTGTTGTTTGTAAACTTAAAAAATTAAATAAAAAAATTAAATTAATGAAATAAAACGGTTTTTGGCGTTTCATTTTAAAACTTTTTAAAATTCGGAAAAGTGTTTTATTCGAAAACACCTTTATATGTTTCCGAATAAAACACTTTTTAACGTTTCGCATGTCCGTTTAAAAATTAAACACTTTTGAGCGTTTCAAAAATGAAGATAAGAAATAAAACATTTTAATGTTTTAAATTTAAACACTTTCTTTTATGAGTGTATATGCTTACATATAATCGGATATAATTTTAACGGTTATATGAACAGAATCAAAAAATGTTTTAATGTATGAAGTTGAATAAATTTGACAATTTGGGACAGGCGCATTGTGTGATAGATATTGTGTGCATCATGACTTAAAACTATGTTTGATAATTTAATATCTCTAAACGTTTAATATATGTCAGAGTTAAATGTTACAGTATATAGCTCATATGATAAATTAATTAACGAATAAAAATTTAATTTTAGTATTAATATTATAAATGATCATGATGTGTGCGTGAATTACATCTGGTTCTAGTAACATCTAGAAACTGTATGATGATAAAAGAGATCTTGTTATTTTATAATCTGCATATTTAAGAAGAAATATAGTCTGTTGCACCTGCTGCTTGAGCGTAATTTCTAAATGCAATACTTTCTCACACTATATGATTTGACAATATTTTTGGAAGAAAAATTATTTTGCAAATGATTAAAATGTAAGGTAACGAGAAATCAACTGGCATAGCGTTATTTCGATTTATGCGAGGTTGTTCCATGAAATCGACGAAGCATACGCGTCACGTGCACAACCAATTCAATTAAAATTGATTTCCACCCGCAGCAACACATCAAACAAACTACCCAGTACTCTCAGTGCCTTCTCTCTTATTTCGAATTCCCCTTGGACCTCCATCAAGCACCAACCATCTCGCAATTCGAAAGCGAAGGTATAAATATTCAAACGGGATTCATGAACCGCGACGGAGCGGGGACGTAGCAATCGTTTTGTCCTTTTGTCAGCGCGATCATTATATCTTGCTTCCAATTTTACTCTCTACTCGCGTACTCGTAAAAGGAATATCCAAAGAGATATGAAGTTTGACGTATGAGGTATGATGGTTTGAGAAAAATATTAGATTTGCGAGCGGCGGCTGAAACGAGACAAAACATAACAGAGCAACACGTAACAATATGTGTAAAATTTGTTCAATGCAAGATGACAGAAACATCCCTTTGTTATTATACATGTAAATAAGTGTAACATTTATTTCTATGTAGGAGATAGCTTGCTATTAGTAATGTAATCAGATCAATCCAACGATGCTATATGAAAAAGTAAGTTAAGAGTATAGAATTTTTCTTTCATATGGAATTTTTTTTCAATGTGAGATACAGTATGTTTAAAAAGAATGTAATCAGCATTTTTTCATTAATTAAATTTTTTTCAATAAAAAAATTTGAAACATTTAAAATCATCTAAAAAGAATTACACTTTAAAATTCAGTCAATATCCTAAAGCATTATTTTAATAAAATCTAATAGCAAAATTTAATGCTCTAGATTGTTTTTTGTGTTTGTGACACTCATGTCTCACACACGAAATGGAATGAACAATATTTATATAAAGAAAACTAAAGTGAAAGTTTAATTAAGAATTTAATAGTAATCAAAGTAGTTGTATTGAAATATTTCGTTAGAATCAAACGTAACGCATCCATTCAATTCTATGTCAAACTCTTCATTGCCTGTGTTAAACTTTTATTTATCTCTTATCGTTAAAAATAATATTTTTTGTTTGACACAAACTTCAAGTAGTTACATTTCAACGCAATTCAGCAGTTCTAAATAGGAATTGTAGATTAAATAGTGTTAAAAAGGGTTGAACTGACAGTTTAAAATGAGCATTTCGAATATTTCAAAATTGAGGTCGGAAATAGGTTTTTACTAGTCTACAATAGTAATATCCGAAGGTGTAAGCTAGCCTTAATCAAGGATCAAAATAACATTCAAATTTTGACTCGGAAAATATCGTAAATTAGAGTATCAAAGTATCAATTGCTCCAGCTTTGAATGTTAACATACGTTGGATAAATTTCGTACTGCGCAACGTTTTTATCCACCTACCTACCTACAGCACAACTTTGTGTGTACCTACGCTATTACGTACCCGCTCCCAAAGTATGCTTTCTAAAATCCGTTATTAACGACGGGCTTGGTAAGCGCTATTATGATGTCTCTCATGACGTAGGCAAACGCGACGCATGCACTTATCCAGTGACGTTGCATCGAATTCCGTGCACGCTGCATATTATTTGGGAACTAGGGACACGCGCCGGCACGCTCCCATTCATCTAGGCGGCTATATTGCGCTTGTTCGTCTCTCCCTTTCCCTTCCTTTTATCCGCGTCTCGACTTGTGTTAATTATTGAGAATAATTACGCATTCGACACAATTTGTTTGTGGCAATATTTATTAAGGAATTAGATGAATAATAAATTTTTACTTTTCTTATTACTAAATTATTTCTATGCGCAATGTTTCACAAGAATCACGGAATTGAGATGATATAGAATTTATTTGTTTTTGTGCTTCTTTTTCTAGATATGCGTATAGAATGCCTCGATTAAAATATCTCTAAAAACACTGGTTACTAAAAAACTTTTTTATGTTTATATTTTACAAATAATTAGTTAACTTTATATTTTCTATTATCTCTTTAAAATAGTGTGCAAAATTTTTTCTATTTATACTTTATTCATTCTCAAAACGAACTGTTGTTTTTCATCAAACTGGACTGATGCGTCTGTTTTGTCCATGTCTTATTCAGTAACGTAATATGCTCAAAAAATTCTTAACAAATTCATGTAAGTTTATTGAAGTGTTAATTAAATGTCCAAATAATAAAATTGGCGAAAAGTTTATTTTTTGAACATTTAATTTTTATTGTTTTTTGAGAAACAATCTGTATAAGCAATTTTGAGAAGCAGTATGGAAGCATTGTCGCTCAAAAAAAGAGTAATTATTAACATGAAAACAGGGTAGATTTTAGGAGAGATAAAAATTAGGAAAAAAATAATTCTCTCATATGTATTTTGTGTTTTTAGTCAATATCTCATAAAAAATAAACATATAAGATATGAAGTAGAAACATTTTTTTAAATGTTTTAAAAATGACGCTAGATATTTAAAAAACTTTTTTAAAAGTTGATTTTTTTTTTCAAATTCAAGATATCTCAAATTGAGAATCATTATTTTATATATCCTTGGCAATCGTACAGTTTTTATCTGAAATTTTTTCCTAAAAAATCTCGTTTTTGAAACATTTAGCTGCATTATTTAAAATCAGATATACATATTTACATAGAATTTTATATTGTTCTTTTTCGAATTACATTATCCAGAATAATGTGACAAAATTTTTTAGATAAAAATACACATACATGGATATATGCAATATACAATATGTATTATATATATTGTAACATAATTTTTTATGCTTTATATATTTGTCCCTTGCTTGTTTTCAGGTTATCGTAGTAGTAACCATCAATCAGGATATGGTTACAATAGTGCCAGTTCGAGTCAGACACGTGGACCATGGGCATCTGGTTTTCGCTCGCCTAATTATTCTCACGCGCCTTTGGAATATCAACAACATCGTAATCATTACAATAATCAGTCACAGTCATCACGAAATGCCACCAATTACCAGAGCACACAGCAAAGTTACCACAATCAACGAGGGGTATGTTTTCTTATTTTTATTGCTCGCGTTCTAATATAGATGATAGAATTGGGAAAACGTTACGCGAAAGAATTTAACTATGAAGCACTATTTTTAAATATTTTCAATATTTTTGTCGACATTTACTACTACTATTATTATTTAAAGCTTCTGTTTTGACACGTAAAAATTAAAATATCTTAAAGAAGTTCAAAAGTATTTTTTTAATTTTAGCTATAAGTAATCTTAGATTTTTCGGTTTCTTTTCTTCTCCTTTCTCCGCGTTATTTTTCCACTACTTGAAATTTTACAGACTATATTGTACAACTACGTGATCATATGCCGAAAAAGAAAGAAACGTCATCTATCAAATGTAAGATAGAAAGATAATGACGCATACGTATGCGTAATTTCGAAAAAGGTATTTTTCATTTATAGGACTGACACCTTTTCGCAAAAATATTTGTATGTTTATAAGGTTGCTAAATTTGAGTCTTCGATAAAAATTTTCAAACTCAATACAACAGATCTAATATAGCAGGAGCAAATTTGAAAAATGATTCTATTTATATTAAACTGGATTTTTAAGAGTTTTTATGGTCTTTGTATTTAAATCTGACACATCAAAGTTTTAAAATGTCGAGAAAACTAAATAAATAAAAATAATTAAATTGAAGAAAATATTATTTTTATAAAACACAAAATAAAATTGATTGCAATTTCATGTAATTTTATTTTATATATCACATTTAAATTGAATATCAACAACTATTTATTTTTTAATTTAATCATATTTTACCTTAGATTTTCATTTTTTATTCTTAAATTTACATCCTAATTTTTTATATAAAGGTTTTAAAAACCAAAAAACTGTTTGAACAAATTTATATAAAATCTATTGCTTAAATTTCTTATTGGGTAAACGATTCAAAATTTCCAAATTTTGATGGCAAAGAGTGCGGCCAAGTTTTCATTGAAATTTTCATACTTTGAATATTCCAATAAGTGATACATAGAATTGAAGCTTAGCACGAATAGAATAAGAATCTGAAGTCTCGGTATTATTTTCTCAGCCGTTTGGGAAAAGGTTGCAATCTCAATAGATTGTCTACAAAAGTAAAAAGATTTTAAAAATAGCTATTTCTAAATCAAAAATATTTTATTTTAATTATAAACGTTAAATAAAAGCAAATATTGTACAAAGATGACACAAGTTGTAGTTTGAATAAACTTGAACTTGAGTCGAGTGCGCCAGTCGAGCAGATAACGCACAAAGTTCAGGCCACGCGCTACTTTGGCCATCTATTAAGATTGCATCCTTTTGGACCGTTTTTCTTCCAAACGGTTGACAGGGTTAACCAAGGCTTCAGATTCTTATTCTACTCATCCTAAGCTTCAATTCTATGTATCTCTTATTGGAATATTACGCGAAAGAAAGGCGAACCGTCTATGAGCATTTGGTCGCACTCTTTAAATATATTGTTCTAAAAAATTTCGAACCTAACCTAACTATAATATTTTTTCATAGAAATCATTGTTGGTAATGAAGTGTTTTTATTTCTTAACAGTTGCAAACTTAAAATAATACCTTCATCTAAATAATGAGTTTGATCGAAATAATGCTTATCTCATGTTACAGAATTACTCTTCGACTCGAGGAGGGGGTGGAGGAGGCCACCGTGACAATTGGCGACGATCGATGTAAATATTATTAATGTAAAAGGCACAAGTATTAACTTTGTCGCACATCATGTAATAATTAAGATTGCATTACTAAAGGATCACTGAGCATAATAATTATTATTTAAGATTTAACGATTATTAATATCATTGTTAAAATACGTATTCTATTTATACGAGTGTTTAAATATATAGGGTGCTGGAAATTAAATACTTTGAGATAATTTTGATGTTTTAATGGAAAAGCAGGATTTTTTTATTTTTTTTATTGCAATTTATTACTTATTGGAAACAGATATCGTTTTGTATATTTCTTTTACCAGTTATTACTTACCAGTTTCTTTACCAGTTTATTACAAATACTTGGAAAATATGTGGAAAAAGTGCGGACTATTACAATAAACACCCTGTAAATATTGAAAGCTGTGTGTTTCATAACATGAAAGCGAATGCTCGTAGATTAAAGCATAATATCGGCAAGTAAGTAGTAAAACTTAAGCAACAAGCGATCAATCACGATGCAAATTTCCGGAATGGCAGATCGAATTGAAAAGAACGAGCTAAAGAAATGTTCGAATGTAATTGACTGATTTGCTTATTGCTTAATTTTGCTATTTATTTTATTTATATTTAAGGATTAGAACTTCATCATATCTTGATGAAGAAAATATCATAAAATCTATATTAATTACAATTAATTCAATAAATGTATTGGTTTATTGTATCGATTAGGAATACAGGTATCGCATTAAATTTGTCAATCGTGAGTAAGTGCAATCCGCAGTAGCATGTGTTAAATATTTGGTTGCACTATACAAAATTGCCGTTTTCGTAGATCAAAATAAAAATATTACATTGTTGTAAATGCTGCGCAATAATAAATTTAATCAAAATATATATGAGCCATTAGTATCGATAGTTTTTTTCGCAGTAGAATATATTTTAATGATATATATTCTATTTTCATCAAATTTGGCATTTTTAATCTATATAAAATGTTCAAATCTTTCAATTATTGCTTCTCGATTGGAAAATATTTTGTTCTTTTCCAATCATCATCGGATAGTATTTTTGCTAATAGGCTTTTTTTGCAAAATGAATGTTTCTGCTTGTCTCAGAAGTCTTATGTTCTAATTTAAATTTCTATACAGAGTACTTGTCATTCTTTCCAGAATATTGCTTATATTGCTTACTTCTGCAGGTAAAAATGAGAAAAACAGTTCAATGATCAGAAAACATCGAAAAACACTATCGTTATAAATATTAAACACAATCAAAAATATATAATTTTTATCAACTTTATTAATCACAGTCACTTTTAATTGGCCACTTTTTAATTGGCCAAATATCGATAATTTTATGTGGTATCATCTAATACAGTCGTCTAATCTAATGCAATGATTGATATAATGATACATCAATGCGATTGAAAGATCGAAAGATGAATAAAATGTGAGACTTGTCATGTATTGAAATATATGATATTTCTTTAATGAATGTATTTGTGTATGCTTTATAATTATATTATCCGTAGATTTCCATACTTTCCCTGTTATTTTTTTTGTTGCAACATCTAATACTAGTTCTCACAGGCACTATGGATTCCTTTATTCTTGCAGTATTGCATCAATCCAATAATAAAATATAAAAAGAAATAAAATCTTACACAGAGTGAAGTAAATTTACTCAAAATGTCCTACACAAGATACGAGAAAATAGCGTACAATGTAATTTGTGTATCGATTTTTTTATTATTTTAAATAAAACTATGTGAGGGGCAAAAAGAGCAATTAAATTTTCACTTCAACAATAATAATCCTTTTCAAGTGCGAATATAATTAACAAAAATAGTAAACTCCTTATTTTATGTACAATTACATTCAACGGAAGAAAATCTTGTATTTGCCACCTGGAACATATTTGCACAGAATTATTCTTTATAGGAGTACACATAATGATCTCGGTAATTAGGGTACTTGATTAGCATAAAAAATCTTAACAAGATCTTAATTATCTTTACCGTTTTTTTGAGAACAGATTCTACAGACACATAATTTTGTTGAAGGTAATAATAAATACTCTTTTGAGAAATGAATGTGAAAGAAGGTGAGAATTTGGACTGGTTTTCGAGAAGATGACTGAAAAAATATTTTTGAGAAGCCAATGCGAGTGGTAAGCCTTGGAGAGATAGAGTATAATCGAGTTCCGGAGAAAGCCGGGAAGAAGAGATCTCGACATGCCGCGCGCTGTAGCTGTACTAGAAAAATTGATCGGCAGCTGCTTGATCTTTCTGCGTGGTTTCGCGTCTTACAAATGATTCTCGAGTAATGTCTATTTATTAAACAGTGGCAGCGTATTCTTAGGAGAAGGAGAGACACGGAAGGCAAGAACGGGAAAGGTGGAAGAAAACCAGGCAGCGTAGCATTTGGTTACTTGGCATTTACATCCACCATCCATTTCGCACAACGGCTCTTTAGCCCCTATTCTCTAAGCTTCAGATGCTTGCATTCGTGTACGAGTACACGCACGTTTTTACATTAGTCGGCAAAAGCGTAGGTACATGCGCTTCTCTCGTGCATATATTCCGTGAGCACATATGAAACGAGACGGAAACATGGGGTGGGAAGGAGAGGAAGAGAGAGGGGAGAGACAGAGAGAGAGAGAGAGAACGAGGAAGAAGGAAAGAATGAGACAAAAGATAAAAGAGAGCTTCGAAGCTGTGAAGCTGTACGTATGTGTGAGAGAGATCGTGCACGATCGTGCGAGGTGAGGGCGCACCTGGACCTTCCTTCCTTTCCATGTGCGCACAAGGGCTCTCACTGCCTTCTACTCCGCAATTCAACCACCCAACAGACTACCTCTAGTTACGTACACCAAAGTTTTTTCATATTCTGTCTTCTTTCTCTTTTACCCGTTGCACACATTATTGAAATCTACATACGTCAAGTATTGGTTGAAAATAAAGAAAATTCAAATACCGAAGTATCAATTATTTCTCCTTCAAAATTTTACTCGAGCTTTTTTATGGTTTTTTATTTTAACTTATAATTTCATAATATTTTTCGATATAAGATTTTTTCCTGCGAAATAATTATTAAACTTTAAAAAATTGCAATTAGTGCAATCAAAATTTTTTTCAACAAAATTCATCGAAATTGTTTTCAAGGACAAAAATATACTTTCCTTTTTAATTGATGTTTTCCTCAACATTTGATATCAAATTTTGGTGATCTCTGTTTTGAGGTCCGCGCAGCGACCATACAAATAAGCATATTGCGCGCGAGCGACGGCTTACATTCAACGAGGATGTAAGGAGGATGCATTGTGCGCCGCAACACTCGGTGCTCTGGACAATAGAGAGAGAAATCGAGAGAGTGGTGTGCGATAAGCAACCGCAACTACCAGCACGAGGTAGATCTCGGCGCGGATAGAGCTTTATTTCATCAAAGGGGCAATAATGAAATCACGATAACGTCATATGTGAAAAGAGGCGTTTCTATTCTTCCAGCAAATTTGCATCATTTTCTCTTCCAAAACTTTACGTCTGATACATTTATACGTTGTTTTATTGCTTATTTAATTAATGCAAAATCTCCGACTTCATCTTCACATTTCACACTTTCGCTCTAATCCGTAGAATTGTTTCACTATATTTTAAGTTTCACAGTTAAAAAATAAAACATTTTTTTAAATATAAATTTAGACTGAAATAAAAATAGCAGCTATAATGAGACAATCGGCAACACCGTAAAAATTTCATAGATTTATAATTTTATTATTTATTTAGAATATCGGCGCAAAAACATAGACATAATTCTCTGATTAGTTTAAAAGTTGCTTAATTTACATTGATTCTTGTAAAAAAATCGTGCACTGCATCGCTTATTCAACAAAAATTCGACAAAGAAACATTGTTAGCCATGTTAAATTTTTCACATACACTAATAAAACTCTGACGAATATTCCTGTAAATTTTTATTTGGATTTACTAATTGCTTAAACCTGCATCAAAATCATTTGTTATTTTGTTTCTTGCATTTTCAGGCATTTATTTGCGTCCTAAAGTTTTCTCTCGCTATTAATTATCAATTAAACAGAAAATATTAATGCCAATATTTTCTTCAATAAAAACGTAAAATTGTTGTTAGTTTATAATACTGTAATTCTCTGCATAATTCAAATCTATTTATTTAATGCTTTAGTATAAATTTTTTTTATACTATAAAATAAGAAAGATATTATTTTCAAATTTTAATAATATTTTGAGTTTACATTGTACAGCCAATATACATTTTTAATATCTACGCGTCGATGACAATACGAATGTCAGATTTACGCCGAGTTAGTCGAGCGTCACCGAGAAAGCCGGTGGGTGGTCGATTTTCATGACAGGTCACGGAAAGGTGAGTGAGCTCTCCGTGAGCGCATCTCGTTACTGCGACGAGCCAGGGACGAGCTCCAAGCACAACGATGACGCAGCATCAGCTCCTGGTTACCTCTGGTCCATTGTTCTCCCCGCATTTCTTCTCAGCTCGTGTTCAAGTGTTCAAGAGCTCAATCGCTACCCACCCTCGAAGCGCCCGGATCCCTTGGCGTCCGTACTTTTAAATGTACCCCCTTTCCGTATATAAATATCGGCTTCTATATTCGATTTCTTGCACACAAAGCAGCTAGTTTAGCATAGTCACCGCAACAAATTCGTCAGATTCGCCAGTCGATTTTGCTGTTTCAATCTTTTTTTATTACAATCTATTTTATTGCTAGAATTTAAAAATCTCACCATCCAAATAGATGAAGGCATTTGGAGAATGTTTAAAATTTTTATAAGAGCAAAAATTTGACGAATCAACGCTTTATATTACTATTATCCAAGTTTCAAGGCCTTATCTACATTTGTACGTATTATGTGTGTGTGAGTGTGTGTGTCATGTGTGCATTTAAATAAAAATTTTTTTAACCTTTAAAAAGTCATTTTAACCTTGTAAATAACAAATAACTCCAAAAAGCTTTAGTTACTGAATTTGATGCGAGTTAAAAAAGTAAGGAAATGATTTTTACAATCAGAAATGTATATGCGGTAGAGATGTATGTAACGTGTTTGCCTTCTAAAGATCGAGATACCATATTAATAGCCTCAAGTTTTATTAATACTTAAACCAAAGATTCTAAACTTTGTCAATTCT